TTTCCCTACCTGCACTTCCTGAATGCAGTGCTTCTTCCAGGCTCCCCGAGGGCCAGGAGCTCTGGCCTGTTGTACTTCTCCTTTGCCCTTCACGTTATAAGGAGGAGGAAACCCCTGTAAAACAGAATTGTCCAGGAGCCATTTGTGAGACTGAAGCTGCTGATAGGCTTCATGGGTTATTCACGCACGCTGAGGCTTTTAGTCTTCCGCAGCTTTATAAGCAAAGCCTCAGTTGCTTCCAGGAAGGAAATGTTATAGCAACAGCAGTGATTAAATGAACCTCCTGCCTCCTGATCTATGCAATGTGAGGGATGTCCCATCCTGTGACCGTGCTGTCCTTCCTCCCCAGCAGGGCAAGACAGAGACCGTCTTTGTCCTCGTCTTGAAGCCCTCTCCTGGAGTGAAACTCCACACAATAAAAAGGCAAATAATCACAGAATATTTCTCCCATTTGCTGCCAGGCTGCTACTGTCAGATGTGTTACCAAGCACACCAGCTTGAGAATATGTCTTCCTGTTTTAATTTAGCTATGAAAATGAAGTAAGAAGCTTTCTACAGCTCGACGGCTGCCCTGGGATCTGCAGCGGCTTACGAATCCTTGAGAACTGCTGCCTTCTCAGGTTAGCGAAGAGACCCTTGTGGCACATGAAATGAAATGGGTTTTCTGCTGTGTGATCTTTATCTAACTTTGCTGTGGGGTCAGCCTTGCCTCGAGCTGGGTCTGATCATCCGGTCCCACGCACACTTCCCGGTTAACTTGATGCATGGAGGGAGCCCGGCTGCAGTCGGCGAGCCCCTTCGGAGCTGCCCCGTCTCAACTAGTGAGCGGAAGGGCAGGTGGCAGCAGCTCTCCTGCAGGCAGGGCCCTGAGCTCCCATGTTCACCGCGATAAAGCGGGGGACACCTTACTGCCACAGCCAACCCTACCGCGTGATGCAATGGGGCTTCCTTCCCTGCCCTGATTCTCCCCCATTGGGAAATCCTGATAAATGTAGCGCTGAGATGCATTCTCTTGCGCACTTCAGGCTTAAGGGCTTTGCTGTAGGAAACCGTATCAAACATGCCAGGCTTTCCGTGGGGTTGTTAAGAAGGAAGGAAGCAAGCGATGAAGCACAGAGCGGTGGGGGAGGCTGTTTGCACCTGTGAGCTAACTGCAGTAGTGCTCGCAGTGATGGAGACAACAAGGTTGCTTCTGTTCTTCCTGTGCAAGATTATCTGAGGATCTCTGGAGTCAGCAAAACGCCCAAATCAATCATGCGCACCGTATTTACTTGACATTGGAGCTCTGCTTTGGGCCTGGATAGCTATTTTGTTTATGGTATGTGCATGTTGCTAACGCTGGACCGTAGACTGAGAATTTATGATGCTCTTTTATGTAGTTCTCTACAATTTTACTGGGAATGAAGTTGCGCACTGAGCTTTTCCAGAGAGTGAAATGTCTGGTTTCACGCTGGTGAACGTGTTTGTTAGCTAGAATCTGCAGACTTGCAGCCTTGTTCTGATGCAATACAACTGTTCATCTTGTATTTATGGGGTGTCAAAGGCACATAGGAGGCTTCAACCAGCCTCCATTTTTCAGGAGACTTATTTGCATATCCATATCCCTGTGGCAGGCCACTTCATGCTTTCTCATTTATGAAAATGCCAGGATTTTCATTCATCTAAACCCACTGGTGCTTGGTACAAGAGCCATTTATGTGCATTTTCGCTTTCCTGTCTTTATGGTAGCACCTTAGTGTGAACTCTCCTAAAGATAGGTGCGCAAGTATGGGTCCCTGAGGCCCTGTGCTAGTCCTGCACCTGAGCATGTGTCCCTTCAAGTACCCAGGCAGTCATGTTGGTTGCAGTGGGAAATATTTTGATCTGAAAGCATAGCCTGATTTGAGTTGATATTTTTTTTCCATTTCCTTTCCTTTTTTTGTTCAGAGCTGCCTGGCATAAACTAACATACATGTGCAGTGCCAGCACTGATCAGGATGTTAAGGTAAAAGGATTTCTAGACAGGACGGAAGGCGAGATTGTAGAACGTCTTCTGCAGACAATCACTTCTAAAGTCAAGGTATGGGAGACCCATTTTAACACTGAATGTTTTTATACTGTTGGGCAGGCATCCACATCATTCTCATGTCCTGATATGGAAAGGATAAAACCATAGTTTTATCTTCAGGCCAAATATATCCCTCTACCTTGTCTGAAGCTGCATCTTGACAGCTTCATCTTTTCCAGTTTTTGGAACCGCAACTCCACTGTCTGCTCTTGTGCTAAAAATGAGCACCCTGTGCTGCCCCTGCAGAGCCAGACCCCAAGGGCTGAACAGCAGCTTGTACCTGCTGCTGTCCAACACCTGGGCATCTTTCCAGGGTGGTGATAACTTGCAGAGACCAAGGCCGTGATGGGTAGTCAGGATTCAGAGAAGGTAGACCAGGGATTTATCCCTCTCTTGGGATAAATTCCCTTCCTTTCACACTTTGTGATGTTAGATGTTTAGCCCAGATGCCTACCTTCCTATCCTGGGCTCCACGTGCAGATAACAAAGAATTGCGGGCTGCTAATAGTGTATAACGTTGTGCGTTCCCTCAGGGAGCGCCCCAGAGCATCCCCAGGGCTCGTTGCACGAGTTCACTCAAATATGGTGAAGTCAGGAAAGGAAAAATGACAGAGGAAACACTGGCAATACCATTCTTTGAATAAAAGCACAGGAGGCTGCAGCTGGTGAAGGAATCTCTTTCCGAAAGCAAAAAGAGCAAATGCTCCATAATCGATGTCTGCAGCCTGCGTGATGTCTGCAGATGTGCATCATTTGACTCTGTCTGTCCCTTTTCCTCAGAGAACACTGAAGGATCACTTCAAAAAATGTGACAGTGGTTTAGACCTCATCCTAGAATCCTTAAAGCAAAGTTTTTTGGCATTTGGAAAGAAAAATACAGGCATATATGAGGTAAGAAATCAGTAAGAAGGTAAGAAACAAGATAGTATTCAGGAAATCGCTAAAACAAGTCTTTGAATCTCTGGATTATACCGTATTTCAGCGTTAATGCAAACTACCATTTTGTCTATCATTTAAAGGGCTTGTAAAGATCTAATCATCTCAGTCAAGTTCCACAGAGTTGGATATCTACTTCACTTGGACATCTAGGACCTTTGCTGTAATCTCAGCAGAGAATCTAAGAAATGAAGGAACAGGGAAACTGAACGAATCTCCCAAATACTGAGGGGGAACATCGGGCTGTCTGTGATACTGCCCTGGCTCCAGTACCATGATACTGGAAATTCTCTCAGCTTCTAATGTGCTTCCACCTCAGGTTGGATGTGTTGCTGCTACCTGTGCTATACATGTCCCCCTAAACACTGGACTCCCTTTCTCTTACCCTCATAGGTCCGCAAGCACTTTGTCAGTGCTGATTTTAATTAACGATTTGAAATGTGGAAAAAGTAATGGAACAGAAAAATTAGGAGCTATTCTGCTGCTGTTTGGAGCCTGTCACTGGACATCATGTCACATTAGTGCTGGGGCAAGCAGCAGCTTAGTGGTGGAGTGCTACACCAGAACTGTCTGTCTCATGCTTTATCTGTTTTGGACAGGGCTGGGGATTGCCTGTACCTTTGGACTGCAGCCTAAAACTGGTCTGATTTCAATTGCTGGTGAAAATGTGTTTTCTGTGCAGTGGCCTGTCTTCCCTTAGGGAGGCTTGCTCCCTCTCTCCCTCCCCCTCAGGCACTGCATGGTCTCAGCACTGAGGTCTCTCAGGAGATTGTGGATGGCTTGTAAATGCCCAGATGACCCTCTAGGCCCAGGCACAACCACGTGGCCAAGGGGTGGCCCTGGGAGGTGTCTAGAGGGTATGTCCCAGGGAGGCTGGATCTTGCTTTGTCTGTAGTCAAAGCTGTCCCAAAGCTTCGTGGTTGTTACTCTGGGGCTAAGCCAAGTCTCATTTTGCTGCTCGGGAGAGTGAGTGACCCATGGCGCAGCTAACTGGTCCTATTTTTTTGGTTGGATGTCTCCACGGTTATTATCAATGTTTATGTCATCCACATTCGGCTTGGAGGTACTCCGTGTGTTACACCAAGCATTTTAAAGGGGCAGAGAAGGGGGACACCCATCTGAATGGGCCTAGTTCCACTGCCTATGCTGGCCAGAGTCCTAAAGCTATGGCCTGGTCCTTATTCAGTGTCCTGCTCTTTACAGGGAAGGTAATTTGGGCGTCTTTGCTCTGGAACAGGTTCTTGTCAAGGATGTCAACGCCATCATTATCACAGAATATGTGCAGGCCCTCCTGGCCATTTCCAGGAAATCATCTTCTGGGCAGAGGAGGAGGATTGTCAGCAGGATAGAAGAAGATCATAGGATGCTGCAAACCATCTTTAAAGAGTGCTTAGTAAGTCTTTGGTGTGGTTATGCCTGTGCTCTCCGTTATTACGAGCAGTGCTAAAAGAGAAAAAGACCCTGAAAACAATAGAAAAGACTTAAGTTGTCTTACCACAGTGGTATCCAGCTTCACAGAAATGAAAATCAGATGTGCTGGAAGACAGCCCTTCAAATCTGCCAGAAGCTGTTAGTTTATATTTGTGAAATGTGTGAATGGAGGAGGCAAGATTCACACTCCTGCCACTGAAATAAGAATAAGGTACACTCTTCTAAGCTTGGACGACAGCTCTAAAGCTGTCAGCTCCCCTAGACAGGGCCTTTTGTACTTTTGCATGGCAGTGAGGATGAGGAAGGACCATTCCAGCAGCTGATGTTGCCTCCAGTGTTTTTCCTTGAGCCTCTGTTGGACTCTTGGCCTCAGGACAGCTTCTGGGGTGACGAACCAAATCAGCCTCTCCAGCTTCTCTCTGCACTGTCCCTGCAGGCCCTTCCTCAGCTACAGGCTGGTGGCTGCCACCATCCCAGCCTCTTAGAGAGCCCAGCTGGGCTGTGAGTCAGAGCCATTTCTGTGCACTATGATGGTTGCCACAAGGGCGGAAGCACATTGATGCTATTGTGGTTGGTCATGCTTGTGTGGAGGAGTGAGTCTTCATGAGGAGGTAAACACCACACATGACTATAGTTGAGGATGTGATGCAAAAGGAATAGATTGAGTGTGAAAGGAGACCCACACCAGTGAAGAAAACTTGAGGAAAAATTCTAGATCTGATTTGTGAAAGCAATTTTGGAAGCTTAGAAAAGCCTCTTTACTTAATTCATAATCCCATGTAATTGGCAATTCCACAAATGGTGTGTGTGGATGGCACTGCGCTGTTGTACGGTTTCCTTGGTTATCCAAGGGCGAGGACTGCCATGTGAACACCCCATCCTGTGGCTGCTCCAGCATGAGATTCGGCTGCCACACAATGGCCCCCTGGCAGGGCTGCTTTTGCAAATACAGGCTGTGAGCGCCCGGGCACAGCGCCCTGTGAGCAAGCTGAACTAAGCATCGCAGTAGCGATTGCAAAGATTGTCTGGACAGTCAAACAAGACACTCTCATATGACACAGCAGATAGAAAGCCTTAGCTTTATTGGTTTTAATAATTTTGTGGATTTTGAGTCATTCTCATGTCTTGTCAATTTAAGTGCTTGGGATTAGAAATCTATTTTCTCCCAGGCGAGACCTCCTACGGGAGGTGTGATTTGTAGGCTCCTCCTAAATCTCTCAGACCTGTTACAACTCACCTGCTAGTTTCATGGTGGAAAGCTGGAAGTTCCCAGTGCTTTTAGGTGAATGCTCACCTTTCCTAGGGTGATCAATCACAGACAACTTGATGCTTTGAGAAATCAGGCCATCAGGAATAGCAGGAGGATTCTCTAATATTTAACTTTTGAGTTTACCAGTAATGCTGTGCTCAGTGTCAGCTTTGGATGAAATGTGCAAGGAAAGCTGATTTTACAATGTAAATGATGTACGGGAAATCTTATTATCTACTAAAACCCCACATTCTACTTTGGTGAAGAAAGTCTGCATATAGTCAGTCCCGTTGCCCTTGTGCCTCTGCTCTGTTCTCATACTTACTTGATGTGTGAGCACTGAAAACCTTGGGGAGAGCGTGCATAAGCAGTTTGCAGGGGACAGCCTCAAATGAGGTACATGGTTACGCATGCAAAATATGTACTCTACTGCAGACTGAATTTATTGTGCAGTTGTTGCACCGGCTGCACCTGCTCCCTGCCCTGCTCTGCCCTCTGTCCAGGCTCTCTTCCTGTCACTCTGTCCTCAAAACACATTGGAAACACCTTGCTTCTTTCCTAAAAGCAGTAAATGTCAAAGGCAGTAAGCACTGCTGACAAAACAACTCTTGTTTGTCCCTTTAGATTGCAGACCATTTACCTTAGACCTTTCCTGTCTATATAGCGCTTAACTAAATCTGGCACCTTCTAATTAATTAACATTTACTTTGTGAGCTTGCCAAGTATGAAGTCTTACAGTATTAACGCACTGGGAGCAGAGTACAGCTTGCTCACTGTGCAGAGCTAGACATGCTATGTGTCTGCAGTGCGGAGGAAGAGAGAGAAGGCTGTCTTCAAGTATTACTATTATTTTTAATTTATGTTCAATGCGGAGATGAGCTGTACTGAGAAACCAGCCTGCTGTTTCTAACACCCTGTGGAGATCAGGGGAACCTGGGCTTCTCCCGACCTAGTTTGGCAGCCTGTTCTCCGGGTTTGCTTTGTCACAGAATCTCTGTTGACGTGATTTCATCAATAATTCAGACTAGCAATTTAACCGCATTACCACACCAACGAAAATGTGAGCAAGATCTGGAGCTCTCTCTTGGCAGTTCATCCACATTCTTCTTTCTCCAGCCTTGTTAAAAATTCTGCGGATTTCTTGCTAGCTTTATGAGCCTTTATCCTGTGATGTGCTTTAGTTGAGAGGGAGCTAATCGTACGCAGCATCTACCAGCCATACTCGTATTCTTACAGGGTCCAGCCCTGCTTCTCCTTGTTTTTCAGCTACAGGATTTGTGTCCTCCACTCTCTCTCCAAGGTCATTTGTCAGTCCCTGGCCTTCTTCCATGGCTGCAGAAACGTTGCCTTGTGCTGGCCGGCAGGGCTTTTTTTCACATAGGCACGGGGCTGTTGCTTGCATGGCAAGGGAAACC